GCATAGGATCCTATACATATCCGATACAACCTGTATCGGATCTGTATAGGATCGTGGCCCCCAATCGGGCACCTCCGCCGAGGGCCACAGCGGCTGCGCCCATTTCGGCACACCCTTCACGCGGACCTTGGCCCCCCATCGGGGAGCTCCGCCGAAGGCCCCAGCGGCCGAGGCCATTCCATCCTTCACGTGGATCGTGGCCCCCATCGAGGAGCTCCGTCGAAGGCCCCACAGCTGCGCCCACTTCGGCGCAACACTCACGCGGATCGTACCCCCCATCAGGGAGCTCCGCCGAAGACCGCAGCGGCTGCGCCCATGTCGGCACACCCCTCACAAGGATCGTGGCCTGCCGTCGGGAAGCCCCGCCGAAGGCCCCAGCGGCTGCGCCCATTTCGGCACACCCTTCACGAGGATCGTGGCCCCCAATCGGGTACCTCCGCCGAAAACTCAAGCGGCTGCGCCCATTTCGGCACACCATCCACGTGGATCGTGGCCAGCCATCGGAGAGCCCCGCCGAAGGCCCCCGCGGCTGCGCCCATTTCGGCACACTCCTCACGTGGATCGTGGCCCCTCCTCGGAGAGTTCCGCCGAAGACCGCACCGGCTGCGCCCATTTCGGCACACCCCCTCACGTGGACAGTGGCCCCCAATCAGGGAGCTCCGCCGAAGGCCCCAGCGGCTGCGCCCATTTCGGCACACCCCTCACGAGGATCGTGGCCCCCCCTCGGGGAGCCCCGCCGAAGGCCCCAGCGGCTGCGCCAATTTCGGAATTCCAATGGGGGCCTATAGAATTCCGATGGAGGCCAAAAGAATTCAGATAGAGGCCTATAGAAATCCTATGGAGGCGTATAGAAGTCCGATGGAGGCCTATATAGAAGTCGTATGGAAGGCTAATGGAATTCCGAAAGATGCCGATAGAATTCCAATGGAGGCGTATAGAATTCCGATGGGGGTCTATCGAATGACTACGGGGGGGCCTGTGGAATTCCTATGGGGGCCTATAGAGTTCCGATGGAAGCCTATAAAATCCCGATGGAGGCCTATATAGAATTCGTATGGAGGGCTATAGAATTCCGATGGAGGCCTAAATATAATTCCCATGGAGGCCTATCGAATTCCTATTGGGGGGCCTATAGAGACTTCTTATGGGCGCCTATAGAATGTGTATGGGTGCCTATAGAATTCCGATGGAGGCCTATAGAACTCCTACGGAGGCCAATGGAATTCGTATGGAGGCCATTCGAATTCCCATGGTGACCTATATAGAATTCCGATGGAGACCGATAGAATTCCTAAGGAGGGTTATAGAATTCCTATAGGGGGCACGATTCCGATGGAGGCCTATAGAATTCCCATGGGAAGCGATAGAATTTCGATGGGGGCTTATATAGAATTCCTATGGAGGCCTATAGAATTCCTATGGAGGCCCATCGAATTCCGATGGAAGCCTAAAGAACTCCCATGGAGGCCTGTAGAATTCCTATGGAGGCCTATAGAATTCCGATGGGGGCCTATATAATTCCTAGGGAGGTCTATAGAATTCCTATGGAAGCCTATAGAATTTTAAGGAGATCCTGTTAGGGAATCCTTGGCGCCCCCAGGAGACCCCCAGAGAGGGTTGCTCGGTTGCTGGGGGGGGGGGGGGACCGGGGCTCCCACGCGCGCCTTCCCCAACAACAACAACAACAACAACACCAGCAGCAACAACAACACTAACAGCACCACCAGCAGCAACACCACCACCACCACGACCACCACCATTAAGGCCCCAAGACGGCCCGAGAGGCGCCCAATCGCCACGGATCGCCAGAGCGAAAGCCCTCATCGACCTCGTCATGTTCAATACCGTCCTCCTGCTCATTCCCCTCTTCCTCCTCCCAATTCTCATCATGATGTATCCTCGAACTGTTACGGTGGTCTTCTTTCTCCTGTCCTCTTTCTCCTCCTCTTTCCTCCCCCTCCTTCACCCCCCCTCTTAGTAAACGTTACCACATTTAGTTCTCTCGTGTTTCATCATCCGCCGCCTTCTCCTCCAGCGTACTCCTCGCCTTTGCTTCCTCCTCATCATCGACATCAATATGTATATCTATACCTATACGACCACCCTTCGGGTGATAAGGAGGTGAGAGGAGGGGGAAGGGACCAACGTCGCACTCGATCGATCTTACTATCGAACTCACTACCGATCTCACAATCGATCTCAATCGATCGATCTCACAATCGATCCGACTATCGATCTCATAATCGATCTCACAATCGATCTCACATTCGGTCTCGCTATTGATCTCACAATCGATCTCCCAATCGATCTCACATTAGATCTGACTATCGATCTAACTATCAAACTCACTTTGGATCTCATTATCGATCGTACATTCGGTCTCACTACCGATCTCACTATCGATATCACAACCGAAATCACAATCGATCTCACACTCGGTCTCACCATCGATTTCACTATCGAACTCACTATCGATCTCACTATCAATCTCAATCGATCGATCTCACAATCGATCTGACGATCGATCTCACAATCGATCTCACAATAGATGCCACTATCGATCTCACATTCGGTCTCACTGTCGATCTCACTATCGATATCACAATCGATCTCACAATCGATCTCCCATTCGGTCTCACAATCGATCGCACTACCAATACCACTATCGATCTCACAATCGATCTCACAATCGATCTGACATTCGGTCTCACGCTCGATATCACAATCGATATCACTAGCGATCTCACTATCGATCTCACATTCGACCTCACTATCGATCTTACTACCGATCATCAAAATAAAACACCAACATCATCATCACCATCATCATCAACAACCTCAACATCAACATCATCATCATCATCATCATCATCATCATCACCCTCATCATCATCATCGGGTCACCGACGGGACACCGGCGGGACACCGGCGGGACACCGCGGGCCCCCGGCCGCCCGGAAGGGAGTCATTTGGTCCGGCCGCGCCTCAGCCACACGGGACACCAGCGGGACACCGGCGGGACACCGCGGGCCCCCGGCCGCCCGGAAGGGAGTCATTTGGTCCGGCCGCGCCTCAGCCACAGGAGACTTTCTCTCGCCCGCCCACGCAGCTTCGCCTCGCCCGCACGCACGGCACGCACGAACACGAAACCGAAATCGATTTCCCGGCAGGGGGGCTCTCCGTTCCATTTCGATCTCACCCCCTCACCTCCGATATATATATATATATATATATACATATGTATATGTATACATACATATATATATACATACATAGACAGATATGTATATCTATATATATATATATATATATATCCCTGTATCCATCCGTCGAGGCGACGGATTGGAGCAATGATGCTAGAGGCGTCTGGCAGGCTCCCCTCCCCTCCCATTCCTCTCTCCTCTGGTGTATTCAGCCCACTGGCTGCAATCCCCTGCTGCACATCCCGGACGTCGGAGCGCACTGCTCGTTGGCTCCTACTTCAAGCAAGAAGATGAATGTGATGAGGGCAATTCTGGGGAACTTCGGGGTTGCCCTCGGGTGAAGAGGGGCCGTCGTGGGGAACCGCCGAACTGCTCGCGATGAGCGTGGGCGAATATTCAAGCCGAAGTGATCAAGCTTGGGAAGCAGGTTTATGTTGGGAAGGAGGGCCGTCTTGGACGCCCTATTACGGGGATCTCTTGGGCCGCATTGGGGCTATATTGGGTCGTTTGGGGACCCTCTTGGGCTATCTTGGGGTCTTCTTGGGCGCCTCTTCGGCCGCATTGGGGCGACTTGGGAGGTCCCTTGGACTGCCAGGACCGTCTTGGGGACCTGTTGGGCCGCCTTGGGGCTCTGGGGGCGTCTGGGGGGCAGCGTGAGCGTCCCATGAAGGCCATCTTGGGCCGCCTTGGTGCTCTCTTGGGCTGTTTTGGAGCTCTCCTGGGCTGTCCTGGGGCCATCTTGAGGGGCTCTTGGACGGTCTTGTGGCGACTTGGGAGGCCATCCGGGCCGCCGTGGCGGTCAGAAGGCGGAGGAAGTGAGAACGCTAAAAGCCTTGCATCGCCTGGAAGACAAATGTTGGCCATTGACGCTCCCTTGGGGGAGCTCTTTGCGTTCAAAGTAATAGTGGGGAAAAAGCGCAGGAGGCCTAGATTTCAGGGAGGCAGAGGCACGGCTTCGTGCCCAGAGATGCGATGCCGTGATTTTTTCAATGCGGGGTCCCCGGAAGTGTCGACCCATTCCCTGGGACCGGTTTTTCATCCTGAACCGTTCTTTGACGGTCGTGGGGCCCGGCGAGGGCCCCAAGAGGCTGAAAACTGCGAAGAACTTCCGCCTGGGTGTTTTCAATGCGTTCGATCTCTGGGTGCATTCTCCACCCGGGCATCGACGGAGTGACGTGCTCGAGGAGGCCTCGAAGGGCCGCGCCCGACGCGGCGGCCGAGGGCACCGACTCGACTTCGGGACACGCCTGCCAGCAGGGCCCCGAAGCCTCGAGGCGGCGCACCGGCAGGGGCCCCGCCAGCTCCAGTCACGGGGCCCAGGGACACACACACACACACACACACACACACACACACACACACACACACACACACACACACACGCGCACAAAGGAACACACTCACCCACACGCACACACACACAAATCCCAGGATGCCCCAGCTGTTGCTACATGTTCTGGATTTTCGCCTCCCCCCCCCACACACACTATTCCCGTCGCTTCCCATGATTCCAGAGGGGTCGACGATCCACGGTGTCTGTGTGCTTCTTCCCCTCCCGATCCAGGGCCAGAGCTCCCCTCTCCGAGCCGGGGCTCGAGGCGCGGGCGGGCGGAACCTAGCTCGAGTAACAGACCGGGTTCAGACCTCTGGATATAACAGGCGAACGCGCATGATGATTCTGAATCGGTTTCTGTGCGTATCAGCTCTGTAGCTATCCTACGGCCCGAGCTACGTACAAATAACCGACAGCACCGGTCAAGATAGTCGAATAATACGAATAGTTTCGCGGATCTAGTCCTCCACCAGCCTCCGGATGTCCCTGGAGGACTTCACCTCCGACGAGGCGGGGCAGTCGATGTGGCGGATGACCACCTCGCCGAGGTTGTCCACCTGCCGCGCGGCAGGCGGAGGGAGGACGAGGCAGGTGGCAGGAGGGGCAAGCAGAGGGGAAGACCTATATTCGGGTCGGGCGAAAGGGGGGGATAGCAAAGGGGGTGTTTGAGAATCAGCTCACGTAGCTGATTTTCCCGGCGCCTCCCAGCGCCGGAGGCGGCTATGTATCGAGGAATGGACCCCTCGGTGAGGCCGAAACCAGCTGCATGCAGCAAATTTCGTAACCCCCCCTTTCCCAATCCCTCCCTTTCGCCCGACCCGACTATATTGCGAGACGCTTGGCTCGAGGTCGCCAGCGCCGTGGGGAGCACGGACTTTTGCATCGCCTGCCAACTGGGCGCACGGTGGTCCTGGTGCCCCCCGCGGGGCTTGCAAGGAGGAGGGAGAGGTGGGCTAAGGCAGTTCGAGCCGGGCTAGCGGAAGGGAGGGTCGGCAGCAGGAAGGAGGGGGGCAAAAGAAGAAAAGAAGAACACGAATGATAATAATATGATAATAATACTGGCGAGGAAGAGGAGACGGGATCAGTAGACGGAGCAATAGAATAGGAGGTGGAAGACGAATCAACAATGAAGAACAAATGGCAATCGGGGCCGCACACCGATACCATCGGTCCAACGTGCCACGGCTGTTCATGACACTCGTGCACGATGACGGTGGCTACGTATGTGGGGGTGGAGGCAGTACTGGAACAACTTCCTGTACGTACCTAGGAGTGGGAGCCAATGCTGGAACAGCTCCCTGTTTCTGTTAGTGGTGCGCAGGGAAAAGAACCAATGTCTAGAGCCTTTTGCTGTGACTCTCGGAGCTGTGGTGCGTGAGCTGGGGGGGCGTCGCGGGGGGGGCGGTACACTCGGACCTGGGACAGAGGAACATCCCACCAGAACACGAGGCCTTCTGGCGGCCAAGACACACAGAACACCCAAGGGCACCCTTCCCAGGATGTACGAGAGCATCCCGCAAACACGAAGCACATTGGGACATCGTCCCCGAACCGACCTCGATCTGATACGTCGGTCCGCTTGTATCCCCGGAGATCCGAGATCGTGTGTTTTCCATACGGGGTCCCCGGAGCCCAGGAAGTCCCGACCCCTTCCCTGGGACCGGCTTTCCATGTTGAGTCGTTTTTGGACAGTCCCGTGGCCCGGCGAGGGCCTCCAGAGGCCGAAAAAGGCGAATGACCTCCGTCTTTATTCTTGCACAACGCTGGACCTCCAGGTCACGGGCGTGGATGCCACGCACCTTCTTGTACCGACACGTGCCCGAGCGCGCACCCTCCAGAGGCGAGACTGCGCCAGGGGAGGCGCCCCCCGGAGTGCCCCGCGCGTCGCAGGTGCGGCCCCTGCCGCCCACCAGGGCCCCTGACGACATGACGCTTGCCATACGGCTTCGCCCCCAAGAAAACGGGGTGCATGGCGACCCCTGTCCCAGGCTTCGTCGGGTTTTCGCATGGCCCAGCCCCACCCCGTCGCCCGCGAATGCGCAAATGAGAGAAAAAGGAAAAACGTCGCGCGCGTCGCGGCCCTTCCGCGGTGCCGCGTCGCGCGCCATCGCGAACCCCAGGCACCGCGGCCTCGTCGGGGCCGCAGGCCTGCCGCGCGCAGCGTGGGGGGGTCGGACCAGCCATTTGGGGCCCAACCCTGGGATACACGAAGAGGGGGTCCATCCTCGATAGGGGCGCGTCGGAAGTAGCCCCCTTGGGGGAGTATCCCAAGGTTCCCCTCCTTCTCTGAACGGCTTGACTTCTCGCCGCAAAGCCGGGGGCCAGCGGAGCAACATCTCGCCTGCGACCAGAGGCCTCGAGCCCGTCCCTATAGGACCGGCTTCTCGGTCCCGAGTCGTGCTTCGACGGCCCCGGCGCCTGGTGAGGGCCCCCCCTGGGGCCGAAAGCAGCGGAAAACATACTTTCGTTGGTTTGAAGAAGAAGAAGACGAAACGACATAAACATACTGTCATCAGAAGAAGAATAATAATAACACATATTGCATTGGAAGAAGAAAAAGAATAAGTATAATAAGAAGAAGAAAGAGAAGCGCCATAAGCATAAACTTGTGGCGCTCCGCGCGGATGTCTTGGATCTGCCCTGGACCCCCCTCCCTGGCGCGCGGAGCGCGCCAGGGGGCGGCGCTGGAGGCGCCGCATGGGGGGCCCCAGCGCGCGGACCCAAGACCTCCGCGCGGAGCGCCAAAACAGTTTGTGCTTACGGAGTCTTCTTCTTCTTCTTCTTCTTCGTGTCCTGTTCCTTTCCTTGCCCGAGGGGGCTCCGCCCCGCGGCACGAGCGGCCACGGCGACCGCGCGCGCGCCGCCCGCCCCTCTGCGCGCGCGCGCCGAGGGGCGCCGGGAGGCGGCGGGGCGGCACGCTGGCGAAGAGCGCAGGTGGCGCTCCGGGGGCACGGGGCCGTGCGCTGGCACGGGGGCGGCCCCCCGCGCAGAGCAGAGACACCACGGCGCAGGCGCCCGGGAGCGTCCCCGCCGCCGCGGCGCCAACGCCTCTCCTTCCTGCTGCCTCCTCATCCTCCTGCTGCTGCTGCTGATACTCCTCCTCCTCCTCCTCCTCCTCCTCCTCCTCCTCCTCCTCCTCCTCCTCCTCCTCCTCCTCTGCCACTTTCTGCATCCATCCCTCCTTCCCACCTGCCACCTCCTCCTCCTCCTGATGTTGTTTCTCTTCCGCCTTCTTCTCCTCCTCCTCCTCCTCCTCCTTCTCCTCCTCCTCCTCCTCCTCCTCTCCCTTCCTTCCTTCCTTCCTTCCTCCCTCCCTTCCTCCCTCCCTCCCACCTCCCACCTCCCACCTCGTTCCTCCTCCTCCGCTCCCGTGCTCCCTCGCTCTGTCCCCCTCTCCATCTCTCTCTCTCTCTCTCTCTCTATCCCTCTCCCTGGATCCCTGTGTCGAAATTGGTGCGAGGGACGCATGTGGACGGTGGCACTGGGGCCTTCGGTCAAGCTCCCTATAGGGCCACGAAGCGTGTGAGGTGTGTGCCGACATGAGTGTGGGGGACGCATGTGGACGGTGACACTGGGGCCTTCGGTGGAGCCCCCCATTGGGCAACGAAACGTGTGAGGGGGGTGTCGAAATGGGTGCGGTGGACTCATGTGGACGGTGGCACTGGGGCCTTCGGTGGAGCTCCTTATGGGGCCACGAAGCGTGCAAGGGGTGTGTCGAAATGGGTGCGGGGGACGCATATGGACGGTAGCACTTGGGCCTTCGGTGGAGCTCCCTATGGCACCACGAAGCGTGTGAGGGGTGTGTCGAAATGGGTGTGGAGGACGCATGTGGACGGTGGCACTGGGGCTTTCGGTGGAGCTCCTTTATGGGGCCACGAAGCGTGTGAGGGGTGTGTCGAAGTGGGTGCGGGGGACGCATATGGACGGTAGCACTGGGGCCTTCGGTGGAGCTCCCTATGGGGCCACGAAGCGTGTGAGGGGTGTGACAAAGTGAGGGGGGTGACGGGAGGAGGGAGGTGGAGGAGAATGAGGAGGACGGGGAGTAGGAGGAGGAGGAGGAGAATGAGTAGGAGGAGGAGGAGGAGAGGAAGGAACGCGGGGACCGTCTTTTCAAAACGGCCACCCAACACCACAGGATGGTTGGGAAAGGCTCAAAATAGCACGACGCATCGTCATCAAACTACTTCTTACAATCCTTGACTATTCCTTCTGTAGAGGGACATGCGCGACTTAAATCTAGCAGCGCGTTTCTTTATTCGCGGCGATATCGGGCGTCAGGGGGGGGAGGGGGAGGGGGGGATACAATGTAACGCCCCCACCCGCCGTGCGCGCGGCGGCAGTGCCAGAGGCGCCGCATTGGGGGCCGGAGCGTGACATTATGGGGGGGGGGGCATAACGCGCGGCATGGCCCAAGCAATGAAGAAACAGGCTCTAGGAGGCCTCGGAGCTCGACCACAAGAGACCTTCCACAAGAAGCCCAACCCTGCGACCCCAGGACGTCCATCGATTTTTGGCGTGGGGACGTCACGTCACGCTTCCCATAAAAAAACCATTGAAATCCAAAACACCCAGGGCACCCCTGGAGGCAAGCAGGGTGTTTCTTGGCATGGGTCTCCACTGTAGGGGAAGAGGAGGAGGAGGAGGAGGAGGAGGAGGAGGAGGAGGAGGAGGAGGAGATGTAGGAGGAGGAGGCGGAGGAGGAGGATGATGAGGAGGAGGGAGAGGAGGAGGAGGAGGAGGAGGGAGGAGGAGGAGGAGGAGGAGGAGGAGGAGGAGGAGGAGGAGGAGGAGGAGGAGGAGGAGGAGAGAGGAGGAGGAGGAGGAGGAGGAGGAGGAGGACGGAGAGGAGGAGGAAGAGCAGGAGGGGGAGGAGGAGGAGGAGGAGGAGGAGGAGGAGGATGAGAGAAGGAGGAGAGGAGGAAGAGGAGGAGGAGGAGGAGGATGCAGGCAGGGTGTTTCTTGGCGTGGGCCTCATCTGTAGGGGAAGAGGAGGAGGAGGAGGAGGAGGAGGAGGAGAGGAGGAGGAGGAGGAGGAGGAGGAGGCGGAGGAGGCAAGCAGGGTGTCTCTTGGCATGGGCCTCCACTGTAGGAGCCCCTCGGAGCCGTCTGTGACCCGCCCGCCATAGGCTTGCGCAGCGAGCGGGCGCCCGTGGCCCCCGAAGCCCGCGGCGCGCGCCTCCACGCCCAGCCCGGGCGGGTCGTAGCGCAGCAGGAAGCGCCGGACGCCCGCGCCGGCGGCGAGCGGCGCCGGCCCCTCGCGCCAGGGGTTTTCGCGGGGGGAGGGAGCAAAAACAGCAACAAAAACAACAACCAAATTTTATCCTGGCGAAGGATCCAACCATACGCAACGGTGAGAGCCGCAGGGCAAGTGGGACGAAGCAAGGGGAATTCCCAATGGGGCCACGAACCGTGTGAGGGGTGCGCCAAAATGGGGAGGGCCACCATGCGAACCCTGACACTGGGGCCTTCGGTGGATCCCTCTTTCATGCCACGAACCGTGTGAGGAGTGCGCCAACATGAGGCGGGGCCGCCGTGCGAACCCTGCCACGGCCTTCGGTGGAACTCCCTATGGGGTCACGAACCGTGTGAGGGGTGGCCAAAATGAGGCTGGGCCGCCATGCGAACCCTGACACTGGGGCCTTCGGTGGAGCTCCCTATGGGGCCACGAACCATGTGAGGGGTGCGCTGAAATGGCGCGGGGCCGCCATGCGAACCCTGCCACGGCCTTCGGTGGAGCTCCCTATGGGGCCACGAACCGTGTGAGCGGTGCGACAAAATGAGGAGGGGCCGCCATGCGAACCCTGCCACTGGGGCCTTCGGTGGAGCTCCCTCTGGGGCCACGACCCGTGTGAGGGGTGCGCTAAAATTCGAGGCCGCCATGCGAACCTGCCATTGGGGTCTTCGGTAGACCTCCCTCTGTGAGCGGTGCGCCAAAATGAAGCGGGGCCGCCGTGCGAACCCTGCCACGGCCTTCGGTGGAGCTCCCTATGGGGCCACGAGCCGTGTGAGGGGTGCGCCAAAATGAATCGGGGCCGCGTTGCGAACCCTGCCACGGACCGCCGTGCGAACCCTGCCACCGGGGCCTTCGGTGGAGCTCCCTATGGGGCCACGAACCGTGTGAGGGGTGCGCCAAAATGAGGCGGGGCCGCCATGCGAACCCTGCCACTGGGGCTTTCGGTGGAGCTCCCCATGGGGCCACGAAGCGCTGTAACAGGTGGGTGAAACGCAAGGAGGAAGGAGGAGGGGACGGAGGGAGGAGGGGGAGGAGGGGGAGGGGGAAGGAGTGAACAACGAGGGGCGCTGTCTCTTCAAAACGAGGACCCAACACCACAGGATGGTTGGGGAAAAAAGGAATAGGATTACGAGTAGGAGTAACGTAGTAGTAGTAGTAGTAGTAGTAGTAGTAGTAGTAGTAGTAGTAGTAGTAGTAGTAGTAGTAGTAGTAGTAGTAGTAGTAGTAGGTAGTAGTAGTAGTAGTAGTCGTAGTAGTAGTCGTCGTAGTAGTAGTAGTAGTAGTAGTAGTAGTAGTAGTAGTAGTAGTCGTAGTAGTAGTAGTAGTAGTAGTAGTAGTAGTAGTAGGTAGTAGTAGTAGTAGTAGTAGTAGTAGTAGTAGTAGTAGTAGTAGTAGTAGTAGTAGTAGTAGTAGTAGTAGTAGTAGTAGTAGTAGTAGTAGTAGTAGTAGTAGTAGTAGTAGTAGTAGTAGTAGTAGTAGTAGTAGTAGTAGTAGTAGTAGTAGTAGTAGTAGTAGTAGTAGTAGTAGTAGTAGTAGTAGTAGTAGTAGTAGTAATAGTAGTAATAATAGTAGTAGGGGGGGAGGAGGAGGAGGAGGAGGAGGAAGAAGAGGAGGAAGAGAAGGCGGAGGCGGAAGAAGAGGAGGAGGAGGAGGAGGAGAAGGAGGAGGAGGAGGAGGATGAGGAGGAGAAGAAGGAGGAGGAGGGGGAGCAGGAGCTGGAGGAGAAGGAGGAGGAGGAGGAGAAGGGGGAGGGGGAGGGAGAGGAGGACAGGAAAGGAGAGGAGGAGAGGAGCGAGGAGGAGAGGAGGAGAGGAGCGAGGAGGAGAAGAGAGAGGAGAAGGGAGAAGGAGAAGGAGGAGGTGGAGGAGGAGGAGGAAGAACAGTTGGAGGAGAACAAGGGATGATACCGGAGGAGCCCGAGGAGCGACAGGCACGGTCCCGTTGAGGATGTTGCCAGGCGGGGACAAACAGAGAGTGACACTGTTCTATAGTTTTCTACGAAGTTTGCCGGTCCGCATCTGAGGCCAGAGCATCGCATTCAAGACCACATCGAACAAGCTGCATCACACAGTTCCCTCGGGGCAATCAGAACCCCCAAGCAGGGATTAGGTGATGTCTGCTGAGCGTGTCGCGTCGGCGGCCCGGGCGACACGCTATGCCAAGCAAGCTCATAGTGATTTGCCCCGCTCCGCGAGACGGGAGGCTCGGACCAGCTCGGGGGAGGAGGAGAAAGAGAGGAGGAGGAGAAGGAGGAGGAGGAGGCGGAGGAGCAGGAGGAGGAGGAGGAGGAGGAGAATGAGGAGAGAAGCAGGAGGAGGAGGAGCAGGAGGAGGGGGAGGAGGAGGGGGAGGAGGAGGAGGAGGAGGAGGAGGAGGAGGAGGAGAAGGGGGAGGCCAACCTCGCTCAAGCGCGGCCAGCAGTGACGGCCATTTCGGCCACGGACCCAGTGCCGCGCAGCAGCCCATGGCGAACTGGAGCTCGCAGCGTGGCAGCAGACAGCAGCAGCGAGATGGCCGTCGCGGAGGTTGGACCTCGGACTGGAGGAACTGGTCCAAGGACAAGAATGGTGAATGGCAGAAGCAGGAGCAGAATAAGCAGTATGTTGTGTGTGACACGTGTGGCAAATTGAAATGGATCAGTCGTGCGTACAAGGACCCGTTGTGCAAATGCGGGGCCATGCTACTCTCCAGTATGCCGAAGAATGAGGAGCCCACTGAGGATGACCCGCAGCTCATGCGAATCGTCCAGGGGCTGCAGGGGCTTCTCGGGGGACCGCAATTGGAGGTTTTCAAGAAGCAGTACATTGCCGCTGCTGACGGAGGCGAGGATGAGGATGAGGAGACGGGTACCGACCGTGGGACCCAGTTATCGCAGCAAGTCAGCCTCGCCAAGCGGTCAATGCAGAGGGCCACAGCATACAAGGATGAATGTCAGAAACGAGTAGAACAGCTACGTGAAGAGTTGGAGCAAGCAGAAGAGTCCCTCGCAGTTGCCGCGGCTCAAGAAGCAGCAGCCAAGGAGACGGCCGCCGCAAAGTCCAGGGAGTGGGCGGCCATGGTGCGCCCAGAGGAAGGGGCAGCGGAGCCTGTGCCCACGCCCCCAGTCGCAGGAGCAGCGGCCATGGGCGAAGCCGAGCAGCGCATCTTCGCCCAGTTCCTCGCCGCCAACCCCGCCATCGCGGGGCGCCTCGGCATCCAGTTGCCAGGCGGGGCCGCAGGGGGCGCCCCCGCGCCAGCCGCCGCCGCCGAGGCCCCAGGCGCCCCAGCCCCAGGCGGCTTGGCGCCACCAGGGCCCGCGGCGGCAGGCGTGGCGCCCGCCCCAGGCGCAGTGGCGAGGGCTGCCCGCCAGGCAGCCATGGGAGCGGGCGCCAGCGGGGGCCCCAGCGGCGGGCGGACCCAGGGCGGGCGCGGCAGGCGCGCCGCTACGTCGCAGCCCCCAGAGCGGCGCAGCACCAGCCCACGGCGAGAGAACACCATGCAGATCGACGGCGGCGAAGCTGAAGTTCCTCCCCCTGCTCGCGATGGCCACGCTTTTCGTGAGCAATAGTGAGGCAGCCATCGCCGACCACCCGTACATAGACTACGCGGCCAATTTTGGCTACCCGTCCTTCTCTCAGGCTAAAGGGAAATGCAAGAGGGAAGGGAGGGTCTCTAGCAATCTACGCCGCCAATATCACTACATTGAACAATACCGCTAAGAAATATATCTTGGACTCTCGTTTCACAGCAGACGTGTGTGTTTTGACAGAGACGCACCTCGCACTAGACCGACATGGGGATGTTCGGAGAAAGTTTCAGAAGAGTGGCTGGAAGACATGTCTGCCCTGCCACACCCACCGCTCAGGGAAGCCAAGGCGGGATCCTTCTTGGGGTTCGATCTCACCTCTCTTCCCACGCTCGGGTCATGGGAGCCAAGGGCCACATCAAGCCTCTTGCAATAGGGACCCGACGGACCAGTTGTATTATCAAACCCGATGGAGTGAATGTCTTGGTTGTTGCCGTATATCTGATTTCAGGGGTTGGGATGAACCAAGCAAATCGCGATATCGTCATGGAGTTCACCACCCACATCCGCACGCAGAAGCTCCCCTACCTCATCGCGGGGGACTGGAATGTTGTTCCTGAAGATTTGGAGAAACCCATGAAGTGGCTTTCCTGGGTACGTGGGGTCGTGGTTACCCAAGAAAATACGACGTGGACGTGCTCGAATAGGCATCGCATGCTGGACTATTTTGTGGTCGACCAGCGTCTTGCCCTCGACGCTTCCCTCACGGCAGTCCTGGAGGGCCCGTGGAGACCGCACTTAGGCGTGGCAGGAGTTCTGGCACGTGCAGTCGCTCAGAAGGAGATTTTGGCGTGCAGTCGGGCCCCCCCTCTCCCTAAAGAATACTCTGGAGCCAAACACTCGTGGGAATACTATTACGAGAGGGCGGAGGAGGAGGAGGAGAGCATGAACCTCACACCCACCTACCCCGTCTGTGCCCAGCATGTCAGCAAGCAGATTACCCGAGATTATGCCATCTTGAGTCGAGCCCTGGAGCTGCAGGAAACCCACAACAAGGTGGGATCCCAGTCCGCCCCGCAGCGAGGCCAGTGTGCGCAACTGCTCAGGCGCCCTCTGCTGCCGCCAGCGCCCCAGACGGGGCTGGCCACCAGCGACGCAAACCGGTGGCAGGTGATCGTCGCACGTGTGCAGGATCGTGATCATTTCCTGCGACGCCCTGGGCCCCATGCACAAGTTTTCGCATTGCCGGCGCTTTTGAACAGAATTATTCCCGATCTTAGATGGCCAGAGTATGTCGACCCCGAGATTAAACATGTCATTCTCGAGCATTTCACAGGCCTGTTCTCGGACCTAGAGGTTTCCGAGGCCAATTTCCAGATTGGGGCAGGGCAGACTCTTGGGGATTATAGTGAGCAGATATCTCAACATTTCCAAAAGAAAGAAAATCAGGCGTCTCGGAAGGCTTTCCAGGAGTGGATCGAGGAGGACCTTAAGAAAGGAGGTAAGATCTCACATGCCATCACCAAGGGTACCCCTCCCCCTCCTGAAGAACAAGATGTGGCACCTTTAAATGGGACCCTCACCGATGACCCCATCCGTATCATGCAGCATAAGCTCACCTATTGGGAGAAATACTGGAGCCCAAAGGGACCCCGCCAGTGCCCTGAAGATCCTCCCTGGCTTCAAGAGCTCCGAAGAGTTGCCCAGCAGCGAGCTGCCCAGGAGCCAGATTGGACAGAAGCCGAAGTGTTTGAAGTTGTTCGGAGGTACAGCCCTAGCTCAGCAGGAGGTGCTGACTTGTGGCACCCGCGCGAGCTCGACGCCCTGCCGCCCGAGGGCAAGACTGCCTTCACCGACCTGATCAATCAGGTTCGGACGACCTTTAAGTATCCCGCGCAGGTGCTACTCAACATGGTTCGTCTCCTCCCTAAGAGTATCGAAGCCGACCAGCCCATCACCCATACCAACAGTTTCTATCGGATTCTAGTCAAGTTGTATCGCCCAGGCCTCACCGCGTGGGATTGAAAAAGAGCAGGGTTTTGGGGTGAAGCCATCCGAGGATCATCGTGCCTCCGAGCAGCCCTTTTGAGTGAAGTGACAGCGGAGCTGGTCACCAGTTTGCAGATACCGCTAGCAGAGGCATTGATTGACATCGAAAAGTTTGTCGACACCATTTGTACGGAGTATGTCTGCGGGGTGGCCATCAGTCTTGAGTATCCCACCATCCCGCCCATGCACGCCATGATTGTTCATCAAGCAGCCAGATTTCTGTCCTCTGCCTCGCTAGGATGCTCGTCGCCCACGTGTCCGACCGACAGCGTCCTGCAAGGCTGCGCCCAGTCAACATCTCTCGCCCGAGCCTTTCTGTTTAACATCTTGGAAGATTTACACTACCAGTTTCCACGAGTTCGTTTTCGTACCTGGGTTGACGACCTGAGGTTGCGAGTTTGGGGCTCGTCTAAGGATATCTTGGAGGTGGTTCCAGAGGCGATGGCGTTATTGGGTAAGAAGCTCGAGGCCCATGGTTGCAAGCTCTCTCCTAAATCCTGTGTTCTCGCGTCGGTGCCGGGGCTGAGCGTCAAAATAAGCGAGCGCACCAAGGAGTTGGGGTGGGCCGTCAAGACCAGTGTCCAGGGGAGGGACCTCGGCCTGGACACTACCTTGGGGCTACGGAGGCGCTTGAAGATTCGGAAGGAACGTTTCAAGAAGGGGCCCCAGAAGCTCAGCGGGATCACTAACCTCACCAGGACCACCAAGAGGCGGAAGCTGGTCAATACGGAACCCCGTCCACAGCTCTTCTGGGGCCGACAGGGGCAAGGTACTGCGCCGACAGTACTCAAGCAAGTTCGGGGACGACTTGTCCGAGGGCTCGGATATGTTCCCAAGTATGGATGCACGACGGCAGGCTTTGCTTTGTCCGCACGGGGACAGCAGCAGGAGGATCCTGCGCATTACCTCCCCATGCAAGTCGTCAAGACCTGGTTCGACAGGGTCAACCAGAATCCAGAGTTGCACAAAGCAGTAGGGAAAAGGTGGTCTCCTACAGTGGCACGTCTGGCAAGTAAGACCCGATGGAGTAAGGTTACCTCCCTCTTCTCCGCGCTCATTGCCACCCTTCATGGCCTAGGAGTGTACATGGTGGGGCCCTGGGGATGGATCCTCCCTGACAATCAACGGTATAAACTCGTTCCTGGAGATCTCAGAGCCCAGACGGCCTTCCTGGACGACTTCAGCGAATATGTGTCACGGGTTCTCTGGGAAAGGGCCTCGCATTTCCATCTCGGAGGGGGGGCTGAGTTCGGGATCGACACGTTCCAGTTTCAGAAGACCTATCGGAAGCTTCGGGAGGATAACCAGCCCATTCGAGCCAAAGCCCTCCAATCCCTCGGGAAGGCCTCGATCTGGACCAACGCCCGAGTACACGAATGTAAATCAAACCAGTCAGCGCGATGTGCCAGGTGTGGAGCACCAGTGGAGGATGACCTTCACCGCCTTTGGACATGCCCAGCGCACGTGCGCAGTACCGATGAAGCAGTCCTCGACTCCCAGTACCTCATCCAGAAGGCTATTGATGAGTTTCCCTCCTATCCAGTGAAATGGGGACGAGGACTGCAGCCAGCTGACTTTACGACAGGACGCCTGGACCAACACCCACCCAGAGCCACCCTCGGAGCCACGGGGACCTTCATGATCCAAGGGGGCCCCATCAAGGGCACGTTTTTGGTGGGGACCGACGCTGGAGGAGGAAGGTTTCCGAATGATCCGAGGCTGAGGAGAGTTGGCTGGGGGGTCGCAGTTAAAGATTCCGACCTCGAGGCCATAGGAACTTTAAAAGGAGGCCTGCCAGGAAAACAGACTGTCAACCGCGGAGAGCTCTACGCGGTGGTCAAGGCCGTCCAGGACCTAGCAGGTGAGATCACCATCGTGACAGATTCAGCATATGTATATCGTGGAGTCCTAC